GACGTAGCTGAAGTGAAGAAAAACTCTGAGGAGAGCCAACCCAAGGAAGGCCCTGGCCGGTTGTGAAAGGAGTGTGCAGGTCAGCTGGCTGGTGTCCTCACAGACATCTTTAACACCTGGCTGGATCAATCCATAGTGCCAGCATGCTTCCAGTCTGCCTCCATTATTCCAGTCCCAAAGAAGCCTCAGGTCACCTCATTCAATGATTAGCGGCCTGTCGCACTGACTCCAATCATGATGAAGTGCTTCCAAAGGCTGGTTAAAGAACACATCGTCTCCAGTCTGCCGCCAACGTCGCCGGTTTGCCTACCAACGGAACCGCTCTACTGAGGACGCCATCTCTGCTGCTCTCCACCTGAGCCTGGCACACCTGGAGGAGAAGAACACCCACGTGCGGATGCTGTTCCTGGACTTCAGTTCAGCTTTCAGCACCATCATCCCACAGCATCTGATGGGCAAACTGGAACAGCTGGGCTTCAATACACCCCCTCTGCTATTGGCTGCTGGACTTCCTCACCAACAGACCTCAGTCAGTCCGGGTCGGACAGAATATTTGATCACCAAGTTTACATTTCATCACTGCTGCACTTTAGAAATGGAAATGTCTTGAGAGCTGCACTAAATGTAATTTTGTTTTGTTTATACTCTGTGTGTTCAAAATGACAATACAGTTTGTCTAAGTCTAAGAAACCGTGGACGTCTGATCCCAGCTGCTACAGCTATTGTACTGAATCTTTCTCCCTTTTGCGAACGCTTTCCATAGGAGCCTTTTCAGATGGATTCATCCGGCTTCTGCCTGGTTAAATGAATTGTAAGCAATCTGAAGATGTTATTTTATCCACTTTAATCCATACTTTCTCTTCTTTCCCCAGCCCCCCCAACATTCAAAGACACACCACCTCAGTATGTGGAGGCCAAGGAAGGGGGGAGCATCACGTTGACCTGCACGGCGTTCGGCAACCCTAAACCCTCCATCAGCTGGCTGCGAGAAGGCAGCCTCCTGATCAGCAGTGCCAAGTATAAGGTAGAGCTTTATTTCTGTCAGGTTTTATCAATCAATCAGGACTAGTTCCTCTTTAAAGGACAAACCGAAACGCTGACTGATGTTTGGTCGACTGCAGGCCTTTTCACAAATTTCTCACTGAAAATTGTTTCCATCAACCAAATCTACTCTACTGTATGTTTCGGCTTCAGTTTACTGAAGAATTACTCCAGTGTTGATGGTGGGGGAAGTTCATTTAGCTTTTCGGTCCAAAATGTTTTTATATTTTTGTATTCATTAGGGCTGCAACCATAGATTATTTAGCAAATTGATTAATCTGACGATTATTTTTTTATTAATTAAATAATAATTGGATAGCCAAAGGTAACTTAAAGGCACACCAAGTAACTATTGGCAACTAGGGGCGCTAGATCTGTAACTGCCCGTATTTTGCTTCTACTGAACATCGAAAATAATAAAGATACAGTGGTAGCCATTCAAACCTTTCCCACTTTCCTTGACGGGTTCTTGGCTGCTCCCCTACAATTCCTTTTTAAACATCAATCTTTGTACTAAAATATTCTTTCTGTCATGATTTGTGGACATTAAGATCTAAAGCAGGGTTCCCGCGGGTCCTTAAAAAGTCTTAAAAGGCATTGAATTCTTCAAAATAAAATTAAGGCCTTAATAGTATTAAAATGTCTTAAATCAGTCTTTCATAGGTCTTAATTTTTAAAACATCATAAGTAGGATTATTTTTGTTACAATTTATTTTTGTAATCTAAATAAAACGTTAAAATTGACCATTTTTTTTTCTTTTTATACAAAAAAAAAAAAACGGCTCGCCATTATTGGTTCCGTCCCGATAGCGGAACCGATAATGCGTTGTTGCGGCCGGGACATTTGGGAGATGCTCCATGAACTTTTTGTCTGGAAAATATGAGCAAGTGTAAATGTAACCAA